TGCTGCCTTGTGGGGAATTCTGCTCTAGGGAGCTTCCTGGTGTTCCGAATGCTGGGCAGGCCCTCCCTGCTGGGGGGGTGCGAGACCCCGGAGCATCCCCCTGGGCCACAGAGCCGGGTGTTGGAGCTCCACCCAGTCCCCAAGCACGTCCACAGGAAGTCCGGGCACCCCCTGCACCAACCCGTGCACTGGAAACTGTGGGCCCAGCAGCAGCTGGCAGTCTGGTGCAGTGCTGGGGAATCCACCCACTGGGAGCTTCCCTTTGTTCTGGATTCTGGGCAGGGCCTCCCACCTAATGGTGAGCAGAGGCCTTCCCTGCCGGGGGGGTGCAGGACCCCGGAGCCTTCCCCTGAGCCACAGAGCTGGGCACTGGAGCTCCAACCATGTCCCCAAATACGTCTACGGGAAGTCCAGGCGCCCCCTGCACCGACCCGTGCGCTGAAGACCGTGGGCCCAGCAGCAGCTTGCAGTCTGGTGCCATGCCGGGGAATCCACCCACCAGGAGCTTCCCTTTGTTCTGGATTCTGGGCAGGGCCTCCCAGCTAATGGCGAGTGGAGGCTTTCCCTGCTAGTGGGGGGAGTGGTGCAGGACCCCGGAGCCCCCCCCAGGCCGCAGAGCCGGGCTCTGGAGCTCCAACCCTGTCCCCAAGCACGTCCACGGGAAGTCCGGGCGCCCCCTGCACCGAGCCGGGTGCCGGAGACTGGGCCCAGCAGCAGCTTGCGATCTGGTGCCGTGCCGGGGAATCCGCCCACCAGGAGCTTCCCTTTGTTCTGGATTCTGCGCGGGGCCTCCCTGCTAATGGTGAGCGGAGGCCTTCCCTGCCGGTGGGTGCGGGACCCTGGGGATTCCCCCTGGGCTTAGCTGTAATGGCGGGGGGCTTGGGTAGGGCTGTTGTCACCTGTTTCCACCGTCACTCTGCTGGTGAGTGCACACTCCTGCCCTTGGTGTGTGGCAATGCTATGGGGGAGTCCACTGGAAGAGAGCCTCCTGCAGGAACTAGGCTGTCCGGGGGTCGGGGGTCAGAGAGTTTTCATCTATTTCCACCTCCCCCCGGGGGAAAGTCCATCCGCCTTCCGATGTATAGTAGCACGAGACTCTTAGGCGTCTTGAGATGCTATCTGGATATCCTTTGTTAATCAGTGAATGTCCAGTTAGTTGTAGATTCGACGGGGGAGAGACAAAGAAGACCACTCACTCCACCATCTTGGTCTCTAAAAAAAATTTTTTAAAGTACAGAGAGGTGCCGTGTGCCCTTGCCCAGCTTCCCCCAATGGTAACATCCTATGTAACCGTAGTACGCTATCAAAACCAGGAAATGGACATTAGTATAACGTGCAGACCTTTGTACACTCATTTGTGTGTGTGTATATAAATTCTGTGCAATTTTATCACGTGTGTAGATTTGAGTAACCACCACGAAATCAAGACATAGAACAATTTTATCACTGCAAAGGAGTTCCTCGTGCAACCCTTTATAGTCACACCTCTCCACTGGTCCCTGAGATTGGCAACCACTGATCTGTTCTCTATACTTTTTGTCATTTCAAGAATGCTATATAAGTGGAATCATACTGTTTGTAACCTTTTTGAGATTGACTTTTTCACTCAGTATAATGCCTTTGACATCCATCTAAAATGTGTATGTCAATAGTTTTTTCCTTTTTAATGTGATAATTTATTAAATTGGGGCTACTTCTGAGGTCAGTCCAGCATCTCGCTGAGGGTGAGGGGATCAGTGTTAAGTTAATGCTGGAAGAGAAAAGCACCTTTGCCAGGAGGTAGAAAGTTCCCTCCTGAGAGAGGCCCTCCCTGACCGTCCATTCTAAAATTGTCCTTCCATTGGCCATTAATAATTCTCTTTTATTTTCTTCATTGAATTTATCTCTGCTTGATTTTTTTCCTTGGTGATTTTGTTTGCTTGCCTTCCCTCCTAGCACAGAGCTGGGACCTGGTGGGCCAGGCTCCGCTGCCCACCCCTGCATCTAGCTTGATGCCTGACCCATGGGAGGGGCTCACTATTTGTTGGGCAGGTGGGTAGGAGATGCTGTCGCTGCCTCCCCCAGCCCCTTGCCCTTCCCCACCTCGGTGCATGCTAGCTGCTCTTCCCACTGCCAGCACCAATATTTGGTATTTCTCCGATGCAGGATTTTTTTTCTGGCCTCCAGGGCCCACTTTGCCTCCCTTGTGGCAGGCCCTAATTGGTGGGGAACTCAGCCCCCAGGAGCAGCCCTGGGGGTTCATGCTGCTGGGAACTGGGTAAGAATACCCTAACTCCCTTGCCCCTTGTGTGGAGTCACTCTGAGGCGCGTTCTACACTAGCTCGTAAACCCCCTGCTGGCATTTTGCTCTAGATACCCAGAGGAGTGTCAAGCTTGGTAAAACACGCTTTAGAATGCCTTCCCCCACCCCGCCGCACTTCCCCACATTTCCTTCCCTGTGTAGATAAACTCCTTACGCTGGAGTCCTTGCCTGGGGGTCTGCTTCTGGGGGAATCCAAACTAAGACAGAATGAATTAATGAATTGAAAACCTAAGTTTAAATTCTCACTCTACCACTGGGCAACCCACATCCCTTGCTAAGCTCTGGTCTTCCTTGGGTGACATGGGTGTTACAGCAGTCCTCAGCTCCCAGAGCTTTGTGAGAACCAAGTGCAGCACGGAGGTGTTCTGATTCTTGCTCTGCCATCTTTATTACCACCTGCACTGGGCAGGCGCAGCAGACGCTCTGCCCACTGGCCTGGCACCTGGGGGTTTGCCCAGCATGTCTTGGGTCAGCCCTGGGCGGCTTCCCCTCAGCCTTTCTCTCGGAGACTCTGTCTGTGTGAAGGAAACATCAGAGGCCCAGTTGCTAATGAGGCCCTGAGTTCTCTGCAGGTTACTCTGCTTTGACTTTGAACACCACGATTCCTGCTTAGCCCTCCTGTTATCCCTCCTGCTGACAGAAATGTAATGGGAAATCAATTGCAGCCTCCTCACCCGCATCCGAGGCTCAGCCTTCGGTCTCTTCCTGTGTCAAGCAGCCACAGTGACCTATTTTAGGCCCCAACTTGGGGAAGGAATGAGACTCCCCCGCTGGATTTTGAGATGTGGGATCTTGACCCCTGGCAGCTGACCAGAGCACTAAAAGTTCTTGCAGAGCTTGAGAAACTTGCCAGAATAAGTCAGAACCCCTTGAACTCATCTCTCCCCCTTAACAAAAGCCACCTCCTCCCTCTTGAAAGGCACCATTGTCACTGGAACAAGCCACTGTTGTCCTCCCCTGCAGCTGGAGCCTGGGCCTCGCATCTCCTGGGGGCTGGCAAAACCCCAGAGTCAACCAGTCTCCTCCTTCCCTGGCTGTGTCCAGTTGCAGGCACGGTCCTGGTGACCGGAGTCTGTTGAGACATCCTCAAATACAGAGCGATGCTCCTCTTAGATAAAAGGGACAGCTTCAGCCAGTGTCAGGTGCAGTGGTTGCTAACTGGCAGATGGAACTTGCTGCAACTGTTCAGCCCCTAAGCAGGGACCTTAAACTCAAATGCCTGCAGGGGACAGGCAAAGGCATAACAGGGAAATGAAGTGGGTATAAAACGGTAGGGAGTGGTAGGGACTGGGGCACTGGAGAGCACCGGCCCTGGCCACAGCAGTGGCACACTCAGCTCCAGCCAACAGCTGCCAGGGACCCTGTGTCGCCATGTCTTCCAAGTCTATAGACAAGCCAGAAATCTAGCTCTGGAGGGGGAGGGGGAGTCTCCCCATCTTTAAGTGTTGGCAACAAATTTGCTTTTTTTTTTTTTTTTTTAACAATGCTTCTTAAGCCGAACGAAATAGCTCTGCAGGCCAGATCAGTTTACAGTCTCTCCCCGAAAGTTTCAATGAGAGGACAGATGTTAGGAGGTAAATTTCGTCTATCCTATCATTAAGTCGTTCAACAAAGGTTCTTTGGCATTTACCATGTTCCTAGGAGCTGTGCTGAATTCTGAGGGTTCTGGAATGAATTAGACACAGCCACTTCCCTTACACAGCTACAGCTGAGTGGGGGGGTGACATGCACATGAAAACAGGTAACTGTGGGACACTGAGTAAATGCTAACCTAAGGCATTGCAGGGAACCGTGGGCGCCTGGAGGAGAGAGTGACTGTGTCAAGGGAAGGGGTCACAGTGGGGGCGACAGCACTTTTGGACTGGATTTCCCAGGGTGAGAAGGGCAGGAAGAGTCCTGCATGCAGAGGCCCAGCTCATGTAAAGGCCCGGAGGCCCAGCCAGCATGGAGATGTTTGGGAGCACCTGGAGCTTTGTCCAGATGGAGAGTAGAAGAGGTAACCGAAGCGACGAGAGGAGGCTACTGGAGCTGAGAACAGTCCCTGATCTGGGTTCCTCCGTTGGCATCCAAAGCGCTCACAGCATGCAATTTTGCTGGTGCAAATGAAAACGACAGTGAGGCTTCGCTCGCTGCTCTTCTGCCCCTCTGGCCTTGAGAGCGGCCTTGGCAGCCTCGCCAGCGGGCGGAAGCCCACGTGGGGTCCTGAGGCTTGGAGACCCTGAAAGGGAGCAGGATAAACCCCAAGGCTCCATGCCATGCCCCCATCCCAACAAGCGCCTGAGCCACTTTCTTTCTTTCTTTCTATTTTTAAATTTTTTAAATTCTACGGGGTTTTACAAAAGAAAATCAAAGCGTCTGTTTGCCAGGTTAATCAAATAGAGCAAGTGGTGGCTCTTGTCCCGTCCTTCCCTCTAGTCTCTCTCCCACCCCAGGGCTCTCCTCAAAGCCGATTAAGTAGATCAAAATAAAACCCGCTGCATTTTAAAGCAGTCTGGATGGCAGAGCAGAGGGGCCCCACTGGCCGCTTTGTGTCAGGGCCAGGGTCAGTGCCTGCCACAAAGTGCAGCCCCAGCGGGGAGGTCTCCGACCCCAGCCTGAGCGTGTTGAGAAGGCAGCCTGGCTTCCTGCCCTCAGCCCTGTCCTGGTGTTCCTGGTCACTACCTGTGCTAATACCGTCCCTCTCTTGCTGGCCTTTCAGAGCAAGAAAGACCCCTCCTTGTGGACGTGCCCCTTCCACCCACCACTCCAGCTCTTCTTTGTTATCCGCAACACGAGACAGCTGCATGACTTTGGTCTAGCCAAGATCAAGGTTTGGAATTACTGGACGGCTGACGGTGTAAGTAACAGGCTCTGATTCCTCACCGGGCATTTGGTTGGTGGAAGCACTTAGCGCTATCCGATAGCCTGATTCCTGAAGTTGCAAAAAGGGTACAGGGAGGCCCTGCTGCCCTTCCTCCTGGTATAGTACGTGCCTGCTGGGGGGATTTCACACTGCATTGTCAGAGCTACCAGGAGCAGAGCCTCCGCTGGAAAGGTTGGGAAGTGAAATCAGGCCACTCTTTGGGGGAACTGGAAAAATATGAACTGAGATTCAATTTTAACAGATAAGGAAATAGACACACAGAGAGGTTATGTAATGAGCCCAAGTCACACAGCCAGTAAGCATCAGAGTGAGAATTTGAACCCCTGCAGTCGGACTCCAGGCCCGTTCACTTACCCAGCACTTCTCAAACTTTAATCCTCACTGACATACCTGGGATCTTGCTGAAATGAAGATTCTAATACAGGAGGTCTAGGGCAGGGCCCAAGGTTCTGCCTATCTAACCAGCTGCCACATGTGCCAGTGGTCCTGGTGTGTGGAGCCCACTTTGAACAGCCCGGCTCCTGACCTGTGCTCTGGTCTGCCCCTCTGGTTTCAGAAACCGTCACCTCCTTTCTGCCCTCACACTGCTTCCTACACCCAGGGCTGCATCCTTTCTACCTTCTCTGGACTACTTTTCATGTGTTCATTTGCATTTATTCCCTCATTCACCACTTCTTATTGAGCACACACTAGGTGCCATCAGGCTTCATGATCAGTTCTGAGGGTGCTGCTGTAAGAGACACAGTTCATATCCTGGAGGTACCCCCGTCTAAGAGCTGGCAGGCAAGTAAACATAGAAATATAATGCGGTATGATGGAGGCCTTGATAAAGGTGAGCCCAGAGTGCCGAGCGTTTCAAACAGAAGCCCCGGGGACTCAGCAGGGAGCTCAGTGGATAAGGAAGGACAGGACCTCCTCAACCCATCTTGTTTCCCTTCTTATGAAAGACATGGAGGCGAGAATTGTTCTATTTCCTTTCGAATCTGCTCTAAGGGAAGAGGTAGTACAAGTGAGAGGATAGATGAGGACTGATCCTCAGCCTCAGGATTATTAGAGAGACACTAGGGCCTGGTGAGGACTGTGGCAGAATGGCAAGCGCATTCCCCATGTAAAGGGAAGGCCACTTTTCTGCTTCAACTAATGGTTGCTGTGTAGGAATGCTCGCCGGTGTTGCTAGATCTTCTGAATGTGCCTAGGGAGCTGGGAGTCTGGATTTTGCTGTGTGCCTTTCTGGTTTGTACGTGTTGATGGCTAATATACATTCTTTTGAAACCACCATACAGTTCAAACCGAACTCATCTTTGGGCTGGAGCCAGCCTTCCCCAGACTGCAACCCCAGGAGCGTGGAGGAGGGAGCCTGCATCAGGCCAGGAGAGGTCAGGGAGGGTACTTGAAAGAGCATACACCTGAGCTGTAGTGGAAAGAGACAGTAGCACTGAGCCAAGGCAGAAAAGGAGGAAGGGTGTCCCAGGTGGAGGGAACTGCATGTGCAAAGGCACAGAGGTGTGGAAGAGCACAGCCTCTTAATGCTCTCCCTGACCCTAGGCCCAGGCTTCCAGTCTGTCTCCAACAGCCACTAGGGGATCTGGTCATGATCCTCTGCTGCTTCAGACTCTCAGAGGCTCCTCTTGATGCAGAGAATCCAGGTCAAAGCCCTGAGCGGGACATCAGAGCCCCTCCGTCCCTGCACCCCAGGCCCTGCCTCTCTCCCGCCAGCACCTGCCCCTTGCTCACGCCACCCTCCAGTGTGCCAGCTGCTTTTGGCTCTCTGCTCCCCTCCATGGCCCCTCCCATCTCGCTCAAGTCAAAATGTCGGCCTCAGCCTCAAACTCCTGGAAAACCCAGACATCACTTTCTCCAGGAAGCAAGCCCTGACCCCCCTGACCCTTGTGCTGCTTCTGGACCTCTGAGTATGTTCCATCACCCCTGTACCAGGAATGACACCTGCCTCCCCAACAGCACTGGGGGCATCTTGGGAGCAGGGCCTGGGCCATCTCCACCACTGCCCTAGACGCAGAAAGACATGGTTGTCAAATGAATGAATGAGTTCATTCCGCAAGAACCCAGAAGCAGTTGTCTCATTGCTATCCAGCCGAGAGACTGAGAATAAGAGAGGTTAGGGTGCTTACAGGTCACGTGGCAGGTTAAAGGCAGACGGAGATCTGCTGGGAGAGTCTGTGCTCGCTCTCCTCGTACTCCCTTCCTGTGCTTCCTCCTGCTCCTGCTCCCGCCCGGCCGCCTAAGAAACATCTGGCAGTTCCAGGGTCTGGAGGCTCACGTGGCAGACACAGGCCTGGCACGCTCTGCTCATGCACAATGCTGCCTCAGAGAAGTAGCAGAAACTTTCTCTGATTTCTGTTTTTTGAGGTTTTTTAAACAAATACCTAAAGTTTAAATTTGAGAAAAAGTCCAAACCACTGGAATAAGTGAGGAAGTTTCTGTGGGCATGTCAGCCTCCCCTTCCCCATTGCCGGCCCTGGCCCCCGTGTGCTCAGGTTGGTCCTCTGGGCCCGGAATGCATACTCCCAGCGTGCAGGGCCACATCCTCCCATTGCCGAGTCTGCTGGGCACTTCCTGGCAGCTGGTCATCAGCATCTTCTGGAATGAGTAATGAAACAGTGCTGGCTGGCCGAGCCTGTGCCCTGTAGCTCGGCCCTGTCACTGAATACATCTCAAGCCAGGAAAAGCGGATTTTGTGTGCTGGATTACGAAGAAGATAAGCTTCATCCCTTTTGGCCAAGGCCTGCCTTTCTTCTTTAACCTGCACCCAGCCTTGCCTGTGTGCTGAGAATAAAAGGAGCAGGACGTGAGGGTGTCGTGGCGGGTGCTGTGGGAGCTGCTGGCTGCGGGGATGAGAGGCTCGAGGTGTTTCTGCACAGACGGAGGGCGGAGGACTGCGGTCCCTGACGGGAGCACGCTTATGTAACACACACCCATCTGTTGCCAGAATTTACCGGGGGCAGAAACCACACGCAAATGCAGCTGCAGGTTGGTGTGATTTAAGAGTCTTCAGGGAATCCTATTACTGTGTGTTTTAGAGGAGATAAAAGGAGAGTTTATAGGAAATATAGCTCGGCCTGGTAGACATGGCTTGTTTTCACAGTGTTTTGTGTATGGGAATCTGAGGAAGAAAAGTTAAACGTGGGAGCTAATCCAACCACAGCTTATTTAGAACAGAAGAAAAGAAGGTGCTAGAAAGAGGGGAGTCTCTTTTATTGGAAAATATGCTGCCTGTTAAATCCTCAGGCTAACTCTCAGGGCTCCTTCCCCTGCGTTAGGTGACGCGGCGAGTGTGAGCCGGCCCAGAGGCGAGGGTCGGCTGGGAGGACACCGAGGCTGGAATCTCTCCACGCAGGCACACGAAGGTGGCACGCAAGGGTCTGTCCCTGTCACAGCCACCATTTACCCAGTGCTGCGTGTATCAGGGTGGTGTGAGGCACCCAGGAAACATGACCGAACAAATGAATCATCTCAGTTAACCCCCCGGCAGGCCTGCAAGGTGGGTGGTATCAGTCCCCACCTTGTAGATGAAGAAGCTGGGGCTTAGAATAGGGAGAGCCTATGGGGCAGAGAGACTGTGTCTCGTTTGCCAACTCTGCTTGGAAGTGGCTGCCTGGAGTGCTGTCTTAGAAGGATCTGGAACCTTCCTTCTCGTTCATCAAGGAAAGGGTGTGTGACTGATCAGTGGTGTCTGCCTTGGGCACAGGAGGAGGACGTGATAATATGTTTGTCACATTTTTCGATGTTCCCCAGATTAAATGACTCGCCCAGCTAGCAAGCTGTAAGGGATAGAGCTGGGTAAGGAATGTGAGGTCTGTTGGTTTTTCTCAGCACTACTTCCCCTGCAGAGCAACATCTCTGGAGAGGAAGGAACCAATAGTCTCCCTTTTATAGTGTGTAATAACCCATTCAGAAAGCAGACTTCCAGCAGCTGCCCAGGTCCCTCTGTGTAAGATGCATATTAGTTATCTGCTACACAGTACCGCCCTTCAGTCTTGCCCACAGCATCACCAGGCAGATGCCACCCCAGCCTGATCACAACAACGAGTGAGGCAGGAGGGCATCCAGGGGTATATTTTATACACGGAAATGGTGCTCATGAAGTAGTTTTTGAATGAATGAATGTTAGATTTCCCCCGTGGTATATTTCTCTGACATGCCGTGGTGGCCTTGGCCAGCGCTGCCCAGTAGAACTTTCTGTGATGATATGAATGTGCTTTATCTGCCCAGTCCAGGAGAGTGGCCACTAGCCACAGGTGGCTAGCACAGCTGAGAAACTCCACTTTATTTTATTTATTTTTAATTGAGATATAATTGCCATATAACATTGTATTAGTTTTAGGCTTAAAACATAATGGTTTGATATATATATATGCTGTGAAATGATCACCGCAATGAGTTTAGTAAACATCCATCATCACACAGTTGCAAATTTTTTTTCTTAGGATGAGAATTCTTAAGATTTACTCTCTTAGCAACTTTCAAATATGCGGTACAGTGTTGCCAACTTTGGTCACCAAGCTGTACATCACATCCATAGGGCTTATTTATCTTATAACTGGAGGTTTGTACTTTTTGACCCACTTCCCACCTCTGGCAACCACCAGTCTGTGCTCTGTATCCATGAACTGGAGTTTTTAGATTCCGCGTGTAGGTGAGATCATACAGTGTTTGTCTTTCACTGTCTGACTTATCTCACTTAGCGTAATGCCCTCAAGGTGCATCTGCATTGTCACAAATGGCAGGATTTCCTTCCTTTCATGGCTGAATGACACTCCATTGTAAATCTACCGTATCTTCTTTACCCAGTCCTCAGCCGATGGGCCCTTAGGTCGCCTCCATGTCTTGGGTGTCGTGAAGAGTGCTGCAGTGGACATGGGGGTGCCGAGATCTTTTCAAGATAGTGGTTTCATTTCCTTCCGATAAATGCCCAGAAGTGGGATGGCTGGATCATATGGTAGTTCTGTTTTAAT